GGAGAGGCTGGTCGGCGGTTTGACCCATCGCTGTTCCATCAGCGCCCTCCGAGACGTCACAGACACCCAGAGACACATGATCGGTAACAGTCTTCTCTTCTGTTTCGTACTGGGGGGTTCCCAGCCACCTCATCGCCCTGCCTGGCAGTCTGGCTGCAGCCTGGGGAGCAGCTCAGACACAGGTAACATCTCTGCTTGTTTCTCTGCTCCACCCTCAGACGGCGTCCGTCCTCTGCTGTCTCTGTCTGTCCAGGAGCAGCTCTCGGCTCCCTCCTCCACCTTTGAGTTGACCTACAACCTCGGCCTCACCGCCCTCTGTGCAGATTTCCAAGAGAACATCGAGTTCCAGTTTTCGCTGGGCTGGACTGCCCTCGTCAGTCGCTTCATTGGGGCTGCCAACGCCAAGCGAGCACTGGGCGGCTCTGACCCCAGACTGCAGGTGTTCACACTGTGTCTAAGCTAGAATGTCTTCACCTCCCCTGGAAGTTTTTACCTTTTATTAGGTTACAACATTGAATTTTGGTCAGTTTAAAGTGATTTGTTGACACTGATCAGTAGAAAAAGACACTTTCATGTCAAAACACCTCTACAGAGTAAAGTAAATTAATAAAAGACACTGTGGTTTTCCTTTTGTGTGGAGCTCTGGCTGCGTGCTGGAAAAGAAGTCTCCCAAGTCACAGTTCTCTCACAGACTGCTTCCTCCAGGACTTCCCTGTGTTTTGCTGCATTCATTTTACCCCGTACAGGGCTACAGGCTGAGTGCGACCAAATTTATCTAAGATGCGACTGCAAAATAAACAGGTTCTGCACAAACTATGTTGTCACTGTAAAAACAGACGTAACAATACTGTCATTACAATGTTTACCTGCAGGTGGGTCACTGGCCCGTCTTACGAGGCTCTATACTCTCTTCAGGGTGGCGGAGGGTTCATGGGAGTTTGCCCAACCAGTCCACATGTGTTTCGTGGATCTGGAGAAGGCATTCGACCGTGTCCCTCGCAGCGCCCTGTGGGGGGTGCTTCTGGGAGTACGGGGTCCGGGGCCCTTTCCTAAGGGCTGTCTGGTCCCTGTACGACCGGAGCAGGAGCTTGGTTCGCATCGCCCGCAGTAAGTCAGACTTATTTCCAGTGCATGTTGGACTCCGGTAGGGCTGCCCTTTGTCACCGGTTCTGTTCATTATTTTTATGGACAGAATTTCTAGGCGCAGCCAGGGGCCGGAGGGAGTCCGGTTTGGGGACCACAGGATCTCGTCTCTGCTTTTTGCAGATGACGTTGTCCTGTTGGCCCCATCAAACCAGGACCTCCAGCGTGCACTGGGG